TTCCCCCGGTGAACGGCTGGCAATTTGTTTACGGTAAGTAAGCCTATTTAAATGCGTACCGAACCAGCTCCACTCCTATTGGTTGTCGCTCGCGAAAATCGCTCTTCATTTGCATAAAGTTAAACATTTCTCAACTTTGTCGCGTCGCCAGACACGCCCCATCTAGTCGCCAACGGTCGCTGTCGCGCGTGTCGCCGGAAGTCGCCCGCTCACCATTGAAATGAATGGTATCGCGTTGCTTGGTCGCGAGTAGTGTGAACGGGGCTCAAGTTGCGTCGCTTCACCACCATTCACAAAATCCCCTCCTGTTGCCTCATAGGATTGTAAAGTATTCATTGTATGCACATTTCAGAATCTCGCAGGAAGTAGTAGGTCACCTGGGTACTTTTTGCCTACTCTTTTATGAGTACTGTTAATTCGGACATACTTATTTTGTCACATACTGTTTTTGGCCTACTATATAAGTATGCGATTTCGGATGCAGACATTGTGTTCAGCACAGACCTTATTTCAGATATTTAACCAAAAAGCCATTTAAAAAAAAAACTTTAGAAATATGAAAACAGAAGTGGTAAAATGCGGACTCTGAGGTTTGGCCTACAAAAATACACCATACCTGCAGAACTCTATTTACAACTCCGCTCCCATGGCCACATTATATAGTAATGGGATTGTATGTGCACTTCAGAATCTGGGAAGAAGTAGTTGGTAGTAGCTTGTGTATTAGGTTTGAGGTCATCTATACGTGTACTCCTAAAAGTTGACAAAATTAACTTGTGGCAGATATGCACACGTAAAGCTTTCTCTTCTAGAAAACCAGGTCAAAAATATTGATGATACATTCTGCATCATATGTTTGTTAGAAATGTATATGCAATAAAAAAGATCTGAATAAAAATGTCCTTTCTCCTTATACTACCTGCTTCAGCAAGTAGCAATTAATGATTCACAACTGTGACGTAACCTATAGAGGCTACTAGCTATTTAAAGAAATACGTCATCACAAGAAAACAGCACTCGTCAAATATTTTCATGGGGTCTTTAGGATCAGGTGTCCTATCCAATGCATTGGAATACTGTTAGTGATCATTAGCTGGCTGAAAGTGTATGTGTCAAATGTATGTGCAGAGTTTTTAGAGGTCAAAAAGGGCAGAGTTTAAAGATAGTCGAACATAAACAAGCTGTAACTCATCAGAAGATTTAGTTGCTGTGCCCTGAAGATTTATCTAGGTCACACTGGAAGTAAAGACACCTGATATGTAACCAAAGCTAAACTTATATAGAACACCCACTCCATACTGGTGTCTGTCATAGTTTAGATGTAAATAAAATCAGCTATACTGATGGTCACTATTTCTACGAGAGGTTTGGGTGGCTCGGTAAGACAGGGGAACTGCACTTCTAATCCATGTTTGTGTTGCTTGCGTCCTCTAGAGCGCGATTGGCCATGCTCTAAATTTAGAGGAAACAGGAGGGAGGAAATCGGATGAGTGGGATGAACAGGGAGATGGAAATCTGGAAGGAGGTCAAAAAGAAAATGACATGTCTTTCTATGTGACAGTGAAAGAAAGAAACAAGGTATGAAGGTATGGTTAATGTTTATTCTTTATATCACATTTGCATTCATCCAAGTCAGAAGAAAGGTTGTGTTCACTCAATGATTGGCACGCTCAGTAATTCATCAAGAGAGCATGCCAAATATCCGAAACGGATTGATGGAAATAGGCGATAGAATCTCAGCTTCAGCATGGATGTCACTTCACATATATGACAAATACTAAAGTGCATGGATAGATGCAAATGCACAAAAAAAGGTATCCGTGCATACAAAGATCTGCACCACACTTTATTTATGGTTATGCATTAATATAATTTATTAAAATGCATGTGTACGTTAAGACCTTTTAAGTTCAAAATTATAGAAGTGTACACCTGAGAGCATAAAGATGATCAATAAGTAGTGACTGACTAACAAGTTTATATCTCTAAATAATAAAATATACATGTACCCCGGTTCCCCGAGAACCGAATAAGAAACTGCGTATATCATGTCGTTGACGCTATAGGAACGTTTCCGTTTGAGCTGCTGTCTGATACACTTGCGTACACATGCCAATCTGATTGGCCGAACGTGAGGACACAGTGATGCAGCGTACTGCGTCACTGAAACTATAAATAGACACCTGAAATCAGCGTCATCAGATTCTTATTGTCTGAAGAAGGTGCACTGGCATGACCAGGGCATGGAAATGTGACACAGTGTCTCGTTCCCTTCTCAAGGAAACTATGTTACATACGTAACCTGAGACGTTTCCCTTCGGGAGTGAAACTTCATCATGGCATTGAAGCTTAAATACCAACGCTGCCACGCCATGGGATAGTACCTGCCTAACAAGGGTGTGTATCTGCACGGACAGTTTTTGAGCGTAGACTAAGTCCTGAATCAACCCTGAAGGACCCAAGGGTTAAATTCCCATCTAGACTTTAGGACCTGATGAATGTGTGCGGAGAGGACCAACTTGCCGCAACACAGACATCTTGTAAGGATGCACTCCTAATAGGAGCTTTGGAAGGTGCAACACTCCTAGTGGAGTGGTTCCTAACACTCCTAAAGGAGTGGGCCAGAGGGATTAGTTCCTTGAATGCCGCCGATTGTCGCTTGGCCTCCTGTTATCTGTCCACGATGACATTAATTGCATCACCAAACAAGTCAGAAGGTGAAATAGATGCATTTGGGAGAAATGCTTTATCCCTCTCCTTAATTCACGTGAGGTTAAGCCACAGGTGCCGCTCCGTTACAACCATAGGAGCCACCGAATGACCAATGGCACGGACCGTCTGCTTGGTTGCACAGAGGGCAAGATCTGTGGCCCAAGGGATCTCTTTTACCACCTCAGGGGCTAATCGCCATAATCCTAGTCTTTGAGCAGGTCAGCCTGGTACGCCAGCAGAACTGACCTGCTGCCTAACCCACAAGACTGGATGTTACCCTACAGGGCTTTGAGGGTAAGCGCTCTGGGCAAAATAGGAATATGCCGCCCCCTACGTTCAAATTTTTTAGAGAAAAAAAATCCTATTTATCACATATTGACCCCTACTGTTGACTTAAGACAGGTGTAAGGAATTAATACAATTTACTCACCATTTAAAAGAGGACCTTTCTTGCTTTGGCTGCTGCAAACTCTTCAATTCATTAACTTGTCATGCCGTAAAAAGGCCCCTCCCCGCACCCTAAACCAGTTGTCAATGGATGAGAATCCGAAACAAACATAGTCATTACGCTATTTCTACTTTATTGCATATGCGCAGTCCTTTCAGTTTCGGTTTTCAATCCGATCAAGTGCTTACATGTCCTCTCGATCGGATTAGAAAAGGACCTCCCCTTTCAATCCGATAGAAATTTCATTCGGATCGAGCTTAATCGTGTTTAGCCTGCATAAATGCTTTTCAGTCCGATTGAGCCGTCAATGTGATTACTAATGGATTTGGTTGCATGTAACCGATCGCAGATAGTTCTTCACAAGTTTGAGACGCTCGTGCTCATCATGGTGCGGTGCCCTCTAGTGTCTGGTGCCCTGGGCAATTTCCCAGTTTGCCCAGCGCTTCCGCCGGCCCTGCCTGTACCCATGCTCGCACATCCCAGTCACAGTAGAGTGCAAAAAAGTGGCCTGGGTATGCATTTGAGTCGAGTATGGATTCTTCCAAGCCATTGACACCTCAGTATGGAGGTCAGGGAAGAATGGGAGATGACGGTGGGGAGGTTGTTCTCTACCGGAGGTGAGGAAGTGGTCATCCAGCTTCGAACGATTGACTGATCTTTGTTCATTAGGATAGTAAAGACTTAACTTGAGTAACCTGAATAACTTAACATGTGTTAAAAAGATTCTCCAATCTGTATTATATCTATAAAAGAGACACTAATGCCCCCTTGTGGCTAAATAAATATTACTTTAAGAGATAGAAGACGTGCGTCAACTGAACAGTCGAGTTATTGGGGCGTGCGCATACACAGAGAAACTTTGATGGAGTTAAGGCCATTGCACACAGAGTCCGAAATTTTCGTATTCGTTTTTTCGTATTTGTGATTCGGTGGCTCTGAATTGTCAAAACACCATTCAAACTCTATTCAAACTGCTTGCTACGGATGCGAAAAACGCAGAAAATCGAACCCGATTCGATTTTTTTTATGATGGACGAAAGTTTCGGAGGCAGTGTGCAAGCGTGATTGACATAACGTGAGGTCGTATTTATTTTTTAACGGGCGAAAATTTCGGACGCGAATTTCGGACTCAGTGTGCAATGGCCTTTATGCTGCTTGTTTTGATCGATTTGAAAGAGTGCGTTCATACCAGTGAGTAATCTTTGTTCAGTTATTGATTACTTCTTAAGAGTTGTATTTCAAGTATTACTATTTTGATGTTAAAAGCTCTAATTAGATATATTTTGATGTTACGACGCATGCGTTTGTTTATTGCATCGCTGAGTTTTTCTGAAGTAACGTTAAATACATGTAAAAGAGAGTTCAATATCTATCTGTGAGCATCATCTCAATTTCTAAGTAAAGTAGAGTATGTGTATAGGATTATTTATGATAAAAGAAGGATTATATTATCTCTGTACGATCGCTTCGATTGAGATCACGTGTCACCATTTTATCTGTGTTATTTCACTCGGCCCATGTTAAGATTATACTTGTATATCTGTGAAATATTGAGTCATTGCATGCATAATATCACTAATAGTATTTAGTGAGTACTTAGTGAGTACTATTAGCCTAATTTGATGACTCTAGATGTTACAATGTATGGATAACATGACTATAGTACTACAATGCTTATGTTCTTCTGTACATAGCTATAACATTGTTATCTTGAATATGTGATCATTTAAATATTGTTATTTCTATTTCATATAGAACCACTACTGTTTAAATGTGGCTGCAAAATACCACCCATTAAGGAGATAAACGTCTCTGACCGGACATCTTGTGCTCACTTTCCCCCAGAACCTAACGTAGTCTTTATTACAACATAACAACCTCGAGCAGCTCCTTGAACGTGGCAGATTGAGGAAGCTGCTCTGCCGAAGCACCCGCCTGCCTGTCTGCATTCTCAAGGACTCAAGGACCTTGCATGCTCCTCACCCAACACATTTCGTGTGAGTCGTCCCCCTTAAAGCTGAAGTCGGCAAGTCTGGCAGATTGAGTGGACTTACACAATTTTGAATGTTTACAACTCTCATGGCCCTCCCCCACTATCAACTAATACCCTCCCACCGTGACCGAGTTCATGCTCGTCAGTGCGTGTGCACCAGATTTTCAGTGAACGCGCCCGTCTCATCAGCATCCATCAACACCATGGATTATTTGGAGGTATGCTGGCTAATCTACCAATAGATTGCAATTGCTAACGTAATACTCTAAATAAGCTTACTTGATTTTCCGCCATCACTCTTCGTTACTGCGCGAACTTCCGCGAACTTCAGGCGTGTGCATGTGATTGTAACGTGCGTGAGGGGTGGCGTGTGCCCGATCTGTGATTGACGGTCAGATCTCACACCCCCCTGCGCTGATTGGACCCGATGAACCGGGAGCTGTGGATTTTTGCAAAACAAATAAGACGCTCCAGGTGGAGTTAGAAGCTCGGGTTTTTTTCTAAAACCACTTTATTTATGTTGTTCTGTCGGATTATAGTGTCGATTTCACTGAATATGATCAAAAAAATGTTGCCGACGGCAGCTTTAATATAGCGTGCATGGGCATCTCCTAAACTTTAGACTTGACATTTCTCTAATTCCTGGTCTAAAGACAAACCACACAAACAATTTTTCAATGCAAACAAAACAGCAAAGCTCTGCAAACGCCAGCAAACATGCGGCTTCTGAAGACAAAGAAGCTGATAATGCTCATTTCAGACGTCTATTTATGGTTTCAGTGACATACTGCACTGTGTCACTCACTATACGTCCTCACATTCGGCCAATAAGATTGTTGTGTTTAGACACTTGCTTCAGACACTGGCTCATGGCTCACGTGGAACCGTTCCCATATTGTCAATGCCATGAAGCACCATCGAAAGTTCAGCATAGTCTATAATCTTCATCAAATTAATCATTGAACAAAAAAAAGAACTGATAACAATGTTAATAATAACAGAACTTAAAAAGACATTCATTTATTTAGAACAATTTTCCTAGTTTTGCAAGAGGGGGAAAAAACACAGAGAGGCAAATTATCTGTTGAAAAATACCCAGATCTTCACCAATGTTAGATGCCACTGTCGAGCTGCAAAAACTTTCAACCGTCTGTAGCCTCCAAATATGTATTCTTTTGTTTTATAAAAAGGTCACATTAATACATTTGAATGAAAACGCTCAAAGTTGGATTTTTAAACCAATGCATTCCTAGTTCAGATTGTTGCATTATCCAGCCCAACTCAGTAGGAAAGCTATTTCTGTCATGCACCAGAGCCAACAATGAAAGTTTCTCATTATTATGATATGCTTTCCTCTAACACTTTCAATAACTGATTCTAGATCAGCATCAATGTCAGCGTTCACAATGGGAAGCAGCAGGAGCAGCAGCAGTAGATGTTGGGGCTTTTAATTAATGCTTTTGATTTGAGTTCATCTCTTGCTGTCATCAAGAGACCACCTCCAGATGAAAAGGGCTGGTCAAAACCGGAGATGAATCAACTGGGCTTTTCATTGGCACTGTCAGCTGCCAGACTAAACCACAGATATAACAGAAAATGAGATTTTCAATATGGCTGGAAGCACCATCATGTAACTGAAGTTCCTCCTGTAACACTAAACTGCCCTCTGTCTGTGAATTTGACAACATATTTCTACAGTTTAGGCTGGTATGTATCTTTTTTTTTTTCATTTCAATTTCTCAGTAATATGCTTCTGCAAATCAGCCAGAACATATAAAGTTCCTGTAAATAATCATCACTTTATTTATGATTTATTGACAATGCTGCAGTTTTGTCCAAAAAAAAAAGAAAAGAAAAAGTGAGCGATCATGCTGTTTTTCAAATATGCAATGTGAGATTCCATGTGGTTGCTTCACGTCAAAGGCACTGCTGTTAATAAATAATCAGTGTTGACCGGCAGCAGAATAAATTCACTGATGTATCTCAAGCAGCTTTGTTGTGGATTTCAAGTGGTTCTCTTATTTCCTTCACCATGGGTACAAAAAATAACAGGGAGGCATGAAAGCTGATTTCCACATTATGAAGGAGAAAAGGTAGGTGTTTTGGGTATCTACTTTGCCAAGACTTGGTCAAAGTTTGCAAATGTCTGTTGAAACATAAATATAAAAGCATAAATTAGCTTAATTTCTGTTACCTACAATTGTAAAGTTACAATCCGTTTCACTTTGCCTCTGGAAACCCAATCATGCCAATTAAGGCATTTACACCACAATTATATGTGAGGAAAATTCCAAAATTATAGTCCTAGATTTTATATATTATAAAATGATCTTCAGAAAAGGTTAAATGAAACAGTATCCAAGGAAAGTATCCAAGGTCTCCTTCTCTAAACAGCCCATCCGGTATATAAAGCTAATCTAAATATACAGCATCAAATGTTATGCTATATTTGTCATATAGAACATATATATTATATAATTTACAAACAAACTAATAAAAGGAATAGTTCAACCACAACAAAAATGAAATATTGCACATGAGTTTTACACAAAAGATTCTTGAGCTGTTCTGTTATATGAACTAATATGTATTAGTTTTTTAGTCCCAATAATCACTGAACCATTCCATCCAAGTACATATAATCTGCAAAAATGTCTGGGGCACCTCCCGTTACATTTCCAGCAGCATACTCTCCAGTGCCAACTCATCTATTGCCAACCACCGTGTGGTTGTGCGTGTGTGTGTGTGTGTGTGTGTGTGTACAGTTCATGAACCCTTTTTTCCCAGATTCACCAGGATGCATGGGACTACTGTTGTTATCTGTTCCACATTATCAGTAGGATTCAGTGCAATCTGTATGAGAAGTAAACTTCAGCCTCCACACCACTAGATGTCACTGTTCTTCTTAGGTAGGCACTTTTTCCATGGACTGTATGGAAGAGCAAGGACCAAGAACAAGACCCCAGCAACAACAGCCAGAGCCCCTGCACAGCCCACACACGTCACTGACCATGACATTTCATGGCGTAGAGGTATGGATTGGTCACTTGCTAAGAATAAAAGCACTGATTGGTGGAAAATTATGAGGCAGAGGAAGATTAAGACACCTGTTGAGAGACAGAGAGGAAAAATTCAGTTGTGTGAGAGCTTATGTTTCTTGGCTTTTATCAGGAATTTGGAATTGCCTTGCCTTTTCTGAACGACCCTACAGCATTTGTGTTAGCATACATTGTTGCCTAGTTCTGCTCTTGCTCTCAATGTTACTTTATCCAAAGCTATCTCTGTTATATTTGTTGTAATCTTGCACATTTTTGGCCAAACAGTTGTGTGTGCCTCATTTAAAAAAAAGTTACAATAGAGGACAAAAAAGTTCACGTCAAAAAAATGTCATAAAAATTTGAAGCTTGGGAGCACAGACTTAAGTTTGGTATTATTTTAAAGAAGACCCTTGGCAGATTATTGCTGAAGTAAAAAAAAATGAATAAGTCAATCCAGAAAAAAAGTTATATAGGTTTAAGTTTATGAAAATTATTTATGTTTTATTTAAAATATATATTTTATAAAAACAAGTTGACCTCAAAAACGGCTAGAAAATCAAAGCCATTAATATAAATAAGTTGTGTTCCAAATTTGAGGATGATATCTCAAAAAAATGAGCTTTCAGTAAGATTTTGTTTGGGCGCAGTAACAGATTTTCCCCATTGGATGCCATGCAGCAAAACTCCACTGGTCACACAGTGATTGGATTTTAGATTTGCAGTTGAGTTTTTCCTCTCTCAATATTACAAACACACACATTTTTTTATAACACACATACCAACCTGACATTCATACCAACACACCCACACAAATATCGTTGCATAATTTATCCAATTGCCTCTATGCCGAAGCAGAAAACAGGAATAAAGCGATATTTGCTTTATAGACCAAACCTGAAAAAATGGCACCATCTGATAAAAAAAAAATAGTAAAAATTTAAATTTTGAAGCCTTGCCAACAGAATGAAAGCCTCTTAACAAAGATTACATCATTTTATAGTTAAATGGCCCTGGGATAAAAAAAAGAAGAAGTTTTAATGGGTTTCAATGGGGCCATTTTTGTCCTAAAGGCGCTGAGTGAGAGTATTTTGTGTACCTAGTGCAAAAAAAAGATTTTTTTTTTAAGGAAATAGCGTCAAAATAGTAAAATTACAATAAAAATACACACCTGTGCCAAATTTTATGCAGTTAGCATTAACACAGGCAAAGTGATTAAAAAAAAAAGTTTTCTTCCATGACCAAAATGCTCTTTAAATTTGTTTGGATGTTGACATGCTGAATATAGAAATGATTACAGTGTATATGCCATTTAGCATACATATCTTTGGAAACACGGTGAAGTCAACCCATTTGTTACAGAATCAATGGTGAAATATGTATCATGAAGAAATGACACAGTTTTCATCTAAAACAAAACATTTGTATGTGATTTGGCCATTCATTTACACGACTTGATTTACAAGACAACTTTTGAAAATGGGTTTCAAAGTACAAGTTTTAAAGATACTATTATCGTCTCCATGTAAACTCCAAAAACATGAATTTGTGAAAATGGTGACGTCATGCGCATGCGTATTACGTGTTCGGTCTATAGGCATGTAGTTTTTCCTTCACAACATGACCTCGCCAACTATTTGCTAGTCTCGAGTTGCCAGACCTTCTGCCATCAGTCTGACAGTCAGACTCTATCGCAGCTTTCATTAACAGCTTCCATCTGACTGACATGAAAAGCAACCAATCACAGTTCGTTTTGTTCCGCGTCATGGTTAGGGGCGTGAAAATGTAAAATATGACCCTATTATTGTATGTGCCTACAATAACAATTCATTCAAGAACGTTGTGCAAGTTTACTGCAAAAATGGAGCCGCGAACTTCACATACTTTTAAATATCCACCGTTAAGTTGATCCTTGTAGGCTCTCATTGTCACAGTTGTAAACACAACAGCTTTCTTATTCCGTAAGGGGGTTCGCCGTAATGACAGCTTTGTTTCCAGGCAGACCATTAAAGAACGCGACACACGTCTCCCGGAAATCCTGTAGAATTCAACCAATCAGATGACGACTTCGAAACTCCTGAAGTTTTTCCAGTAAGGTGTGCCATATGCATCAGACATTCAACCAACAGTCTGTGGGTGTGATGTCTGAGGCTGAGACTACTACTTGCCAACATACTGCCAGCTTGCATAATACAGCGTTTTTAGTCATTTTTGCAGATCTGTGTGAAAGGGGATCGTTTTGACAGTAATGTTGTCTGTACGCGAAGAATACAAAAGAAGAATACAAAAGAAAAACTTTACGTTTTTAGTGCATCATTGTCATGTAAACGTATCCTCTGCTTATACAGTATATTTCTTTAGCTCAATTGGTGAAGTATGGTATCAGCAATGCCAATGGTCACTAGTTTGATTCCCAGGAAATACACATATTGGCAAAATGTATACCTTAAATGCACTGAAAGTTTTTTGGGATAAAAGCATCAGGTAAAAAAGCATGTGTACTATGTAGTTAAAGGATGTTAGCCAATAGCATAATAATGTTACCTGACAGTATGAAGCAAGCTGCGGCTGGCTTCAAGAAGAACTGAACACCTTTGCCTACTGCCATGATAATGCACATAGCTCCCATCACCATCAGGAAAAGACTAATGATAGCTAACATAGCCGATGCTACTGTCAGATCTGAAGAGGGAAGAAGGTTTTAATCAGCAAATAGCAATGATATGATGGCATAATGCACACATCTGCTGAGCTGAATTAACAGACAGAGAATGGTTTGATTTGAAAGGTGCAATCTATGTTTTTTTGTTGTTGTTGTTTTGTCATCATGTTTAGATGGTTTGGCTGAGGTTTTTCCTGTGGCTGTCAATTTCAAGACACTCGTGTCCTGAAAGAGTAGGCAATTTTAATGAAATTTCTTAAAAATAATAATCATCACTTTTTAATTAGCACAATATTGCCTTTACATATGATGCAGATGTTCTTATAAAATTGGGCAACAGTTTACAATAAGGTTCCATTAGTTAATCCATTAACATAAACAATAAGCAATGCATTTGTTACAGTATTTATTAATCTTTATTAATGTTAGTTTAAAAATACTTCTGTTCATGTCAGATCATGTCCACTTTATAATATTAACATATACAGCTTTTGAATTTAAGAATGGATTAGTAAATGTTGAAATTAACACTAAGAATAATCATTTCATTCATGTTAACTATGTAGTTAACTATTGTCAACAAATTAAACCTTATTGAAAAGTGTTAGGCTACTGTTGGAAATGTAATGTTTCATTAATTTCCTTCATTTTCCTTCATCATTCCTTCATTATTGTTCATGCTATTTTTCGTTGTTCATACAACATTTAAGTATCATATTTTGGTTAAAAATGTATAAATGGGGTCAGCACTCAGTGACGACACAAAGAAAGACACATTAGTGCTATGGGATCTAAAGACAAAGAGGGGGATGTGCGATGACTCACCCTTTTCTGGCGTTTTCTGAAATAGGACAATGTTTTCTCCAGTGGTGTAGAACTTAAAGAAGGTGCAATTGGATTCTATAATGGGATCCAGGAAGGTGATGTTATTCTAACGGTAGTCATAATGCTTTCACTCCAGTTGAGACATTATGGGACATAATGGACTCTTACCTCCATGTAAGTGCGAAGGCCCACAGATCTCCTGCTTTGGGTCCATATCTGTCCCCCAGAACGTCTTGGTACAGCATTTCCATAAGCCATAATGTGCTACCAGACAAGTCTGATTGTTGTAGATGCTCTTGGATGGTACAAGTTCCACCCAGAACTCTGTGCCCACCCCGAGCACAGTGAGCATAATGCCGGTTACAGCCAAGAATAACGTCAGCTTGATTTTGCCCTCTTGGCTTTCGCTGATTCCATCTCCAGAATTGGGGTGTGTTCTATGTCGGCGCTTACGTCCGCCGCCCCGTGATCCCAAAAACCCTTCCAGCGCACAGGAAGGTTGGTGTACCCCAGCAGATGCATTCCCTGTCCTTACCTCTTCATCCTGCACGATGAACGTGGACCACATGATTGATTTGCAGCTTCAGAGATCCAAATAAGTGAATGAGAGGAAGCAGCTTATTTTGGAAGGATATTTAAGTCTTCTTAGATGATTGAGGACAAAATAATCAGATGAGAGGTCAAACCAATACAGTTAGTGCTGGAGAAGTCTGAATTAGATTGATCCTGCAAGATAAATCTAGGTCAGTCTAATGTGTTTCACATGTAGAGGTGTGGCAGGCTTTGTCAGAAGAAGATGCAGCGGAGGATGTTAATTATGGAGGCGTTAAGGCCAGATAGACAGCAGAAGGATGCTGGGAACTGCAGGCATTGCCCATTCACACAATTGAGTGCTAATACAGCTTGAAGATGTGAATGATGATGAGGAGGTGATGAAGTCAGGGGTTGGTCAGACTGGTTACTCTATAAATTAAGAATATGATTAAAACAGAAAATCAAACTTAAGCACAGTTTCATGAAATGGAAGAACATGTTCATCATGATGACTAGACTTGAGTACCACCAGCTAACCCACGATATGTAAGACATTATTTTTGTTCATACAATGGAAACTTGTGGTAACCAAACCTATTTGATAACCAGCATTCTTCAAAATGTCTTATATTCTGTTCTGCATATATATTTTAGATATTCATGTTTGCGTTTCTTTGTTAATCTTCTAGTCTGTTAAAGGTCCAGTGTGTGATTTTTAGCGACATCTAGCGGTTCGGTTGCGAGTTTACACTAAGGGCTCAGCCCACCGCTCACCCCTCCCTTTCGAAGAAGCTACGGTGGCTAAAACGGTACAAACATCGTCGTCTGAGACAGCAGAGAATAGCCAGCGTAAACCAAGTTTCTGTACCACAGTCCATTATAAACCACATCATGGATAAAGTTTCAGGTGAGGATCAAGGGTCTTAATATATAATATAATAATAGTAATCAGCTGATTGTCTCACGAACGTAACCAGCACATTCTCCCCACATAGCACACCCATAATACAGCGAGGGAGAAGAACCACATGAAACTATGCAACTATATATTTTTTCTAACAGGGTAGTAAAAGTTTAGCTGGCTAATATGAGCTGTTACTGTGGCTGAGCTGGTTAAAGCGTTAAGCCTTGGTTAAACTCGACGCGTCCGCATGAGCCCAAAGGTGCGTGCGGCAAAAATGACGTGATTGTAACAGCGCGCGCGCCTCCGCATCCCCTAGACACACTACACACACAATAGGCTTTTTTTCTCCGATTTTGGAAACTCGATCGACTTAAAATGCTTCCAAGATCGACGGGTTGGTGATTCCTGTAACTGTTTTACGGTCAATGACAAGAGTAGCCTATTAATCAGCTGTCTCACGAACTTAACCAGCACATTTATCCCCACATAGCAAAGCCATAACACAGCGAGGGAGAAGAATTAAGTTACATGAAACAATCCAACTACATATTTAGACCACTGACAAGGGAAAAATCACTACTCACGGTGTTTATGACTAGCTTCTTCTAGCTTCCTGCGGCTTCTCTTTCAAGGTAGTGACGAAACGCGCTCTGTAACGCTGTTTGTTCGCGTTCGGCTACTGTAGAAACATGACGTCACAATATGGCGACCTTCATAGAAGGGGATTCCCGCTAGGGATGGGCATTCGATTAAATTTTCTTAGTCGATCGTCGGGAGAATTAACGATCGACTATCGATTAATCATTAATATTTTTTATATATTAAAATTAATTATTTATTTAACTTTTTATAAATTAAAAATGCAATGAAAATACAAAAATACAGCGTGTTTTTCCTCGATGAGATCTTTATTACAAGATAATCAACTTGCGGCAGTTAAACTGGACATTCGGCTAAACTTGAAATATGCGCTGCGGTGCTCTAAAAAGCAACAAAACCTGCAGCTGCGAGTTGGCGTCCTCAAACAGAGACCCGATCGTTTGTTCCAAAATAATAATAAAAAAAATCATGTTAAACAATAACTTAACCAAAAACATAATAATACTCAATGTAACTCAAAACTATCCAAGGTACGAAGTCGAGAAAGAGTGTGAGAGAGATTAGCCTACCTAGCAACAAATTAGGTTACTTAACAAAGCCTCAAAAAAAATATCTATTAACTCACATAAAACTTCTGCACCAGTCTACTGATTTTTGTTGAGAAAGATAAGCATGTTGATGACATGGACTGGGCCTGGGGTCAGACGCGACCGCAACATGGTGACCGTCAAGCCTCGTTTATACTTTTGCCTGGCTCTGCAGCGCGATTCTCCGCAAACGGACGAGGCGTTTATACTCCACGCGCTCGCCTGTAAAACGCCGAATACCGCAATGACGTCATTTTTGCCTCGCGCACCTTTGCTCGTGCTTGTGCGGACGCGTCGAGGTCGAGTGTAAACAAACTCTTCAGTCCAGCCGCCGAAAACACCCGCTCTGAGGGGACTGACGTTGCCGGGATGCACAGGTACCTCTGCGCTAACTTGACCAGCCCGGGAAACAACTTATTCCGTTCACTTTCCACCCGTCTGCAGTGGTGCAATCCAGCGGTTCATTGCTTCAAGGCTCACATTACGCAACGCAATCATATTACATTTACATTTAGTCATTTAGCAGACGCTTTTATCCAAAGCGACTTACAACTGAGGACTAAACCAAGCGAGTCATCGTGAAGAGGCAAAAGCAACGCAAGAAGTGCTCAAAATACAAAGTTCAGACATAGCTCGGAGTAGCATAAGCCAGGCAAGCGAGGATTTAGAGGAAAGGATTTTTTTTTTTTTTTAAGTTTAAGTTTTATCGATAACAAATTAACATGATCGACGAAATTCTTAATGATCAATTATCGATCGTCGATTAATAATGCCCATCCCTAATTCCCGCGCCTATGTAGATATAAATGCCTCATTCTAAGGTAATAAAAACATTACGGTTTATTAAGTAAGTTCTTTATACACCACTGAACACATAGTTATGGATTTCATATTGCATTTCTGTTAATAAATACCCAAAAATGTTACACACTGCACCTTTAATTAGTTCAGTTCTCCTCCGTTCTCTCCCTGTTTTGTCTCCATGGTTTCTAATTGATTGGGTTCCTCAGTTTAGGTGTGTCTATTTAGTTTCTCCCTCTGTCTGCAGTGTATACAGGCTAAGCCCTCATTTTGCGTTAGTTCTTTGTTGCAGTATTAGTCGTGTTAAAGAAATAGTTCACTTCAAAATGAAAATTCTGTCATCATTTACACACCCTCAAGTTGTTTCAAACATGTATGAATTTCTTTCTTCTGCTGAACACAAAAGAAGATATTTAGAAGAATGTTGGTAAACAAACAGTTGATGGACCCCATTGACTTCTATAGTATTTTTTTTCCTACTATGGAAGTCAATGGGGTACATCAACTCTTACTCTTGTTCCATCTAGTGGTTCCTGGTTACCCATTACATTTTTGAAGTGAACTATTCCTTTAAGTTGTTGTGTAGTGCTGCTTTCTATGAATTCCTGTTTTTTGTTTGGCAAATTATATTTTACAAGTTCACACTTGCATTTAATTAAGTAGAGTAAGTGTTATGCGCATTTGGCATGCTGTCTGGGGGGAGGGGTCTGAGCTTGGAATTTGGCTCGATCCCAGTGTACTCCCCCATTGTGATAAGAATAGTTACTGTAGGACTACAAGTGAGGAGATGGGGCGGTGGAGAGATACTGATAAACTGTCGACAAAAAGAGGCAAGTCTGCTGTATCTTATCGTTAATGAGTTGATTACCTGAATGCTCCTCTCGTGTTAAAGGTGCATTGCGCAACTTTTCATGTTAAAAATACCTGTTTTTCTATCCTATACATGCTTAAAGAACTGCCTGATGGGCTGAATGAGCCCTTCTCTGCGCACTGAGATTGCCTCTATAATCCTGTACAGTAAAATATATAAGAGGGATTCGGGCTCGAATTTGAGACTGGGCGTGACGTCATGCGCGTTCACGCTCACCAGGCTATAGGTGTGTTCGACTTCATGCAGCTCTACGCAGACCGATCGGCGGCTGACTTGAAACAGTGCATGCCGGTTAGAAATTTTGTCCGACTTGATACAGCGCCGACGCCACATGACTCGTATGCCATCGAAGTACCGCGAGAGCGTTTCGAGAGTAGCCGGAGAACTCAGCCAGCGCAGCTTCTCAAAAGCAGCTGCACAAGCTCTGATGACGTCACAGCTGTTCCACGATTCGCCGGGTTCACGGCATGACAACGATCACGTGCGTTTCGTGTTTATTCTCACACCTTTAGTTCTACTAAAGCTCACAAATCATTTTTTATAACAGTAAACAGTCTTCATGTAGTCGCGATGTTATATTGTGTCATGTTTATCAAAATAAAACTGATTAAAAAACTTTCACTCCACTTCATTGATATAGGCTTATTTTGAACTTTATTCTTATTCAAACAGATGCTGTATGAAGCAGTAAAGTATTGAATGAAAATGTGTCTGAAAAATCTGTGTATTTGACAAATATTGCATTTATTTCACTTCAGCTGTGGTAAAGTATGCAAACACCACGTGAGCGGTCACTACGGGAACCAGAAAGTGTCCGACTTCACGTCTCCGTTTGCAGCTCCTCCCCGCCTGCACGCGGCAACTCTCGCCGATCGGTTACATCCAGCCGCAGCCGATGTCGAACACACCTTATGTCTCGCAGGTTTGTGTATTCGCCGGCGCCGCCATTCTCCGCATCAGCGAAGACAACTCGTGCGTCAAAGGTAGATGATGGATTCTAGAGACCGGCTTGTAGTCCATTCCAAACCCCAACGCAAACTCCACGTAAAGTAAAGAAAAGAAAAATTTTGTCTAACGTTAGTGCCACCAAAAGGTCCAAATTGGAGTCAGACAGGCGTCGGAGTAAGACGAGAGTCAACCTCGGGAAGGCATTCAACAAATGGAGAGATCTCCGGTCTGCTCTTGGTCTCAAACGGGATCCTCAGTTGGCTTTTTTATTGATAAAACGGTAAGATATAGCCCAGTCTCTAATGTTTGATACGGCCAATCTATGTATGACAACAAATGACGATGGGTAAAATGTGTAATGCTACGTAAGCTAGATACATGTACAATCAGAATTGGTTTTACTACTATTGTTAGTGAACAGTTTCATAAACTAGGAATTGTGTTCGGAAGAATAGTACAACATGAGACATAAAACATATCCAATAAAAGATGCTAACTATGTTTTTGTGTATGGCCTACCGGTAACGTTAGCCTTGTGTCCATTGCTAACATGCTACGGTGTTCATGTCATTGACCAAAAAGGAAGAACGCCGTTGCATTGGCTATATTGTCTTTTTCGGTAAAAATAGTAAATTTTTCCCGTGAGACTAACTATTTACTAAATAAAGTATTGACACATTTCATATTAATGTTTGTCAGTATTTTCCCTGTCAAAATATCTACTAAATAAATCAGCGCTACATGTAGTTTAGTGATTAGCAAAACAGTTCAAGATTCTTGAGTGTGATAGCTGCTATAACATGCTGAAAAATATGACCGATAATTAGACAGAAATTGAGTAAATTATAACAGAAAAAGGATGTATTGTTATTGGAATATTCTACTTAGCAGATCAATAAAACAGGCTGAACCCCGCAAGTCTTCGGCTTCGGCTAATTTTACTATTATGCATAAATCTTAAAGTGCCCCTATTATGTGTTTTTTTTTTTTTTTCTCGAATATACCGTTTCATGCAGTGTGTAATATAGATGTGAATGTAAACGGTCTACAAAGTTGTAAAGTCGAAAGTGCACGATAAAGTTATTGTCTACCAAAAGAAAGAATTGACTCTGAACAGACGGGTCGTCAGGAATTCGAATCCATATCAGTTACGGCTACACGTCACTAGCTAACGCATTTGCATAATGCGCGCCTATGTTCTACTTAGAGTCAGTACCCAGTTTATTTGGATCAGCTTGCTCCTCAGAATCCCAACCTGTAAGTGTGATTAATTATTGATGTATTTTCTACCGGGTGTTCAAAATGCATAGTTTTGTGTTTTGTGTTGGTCTTTGGCTAACTGGCTAACTCATGTAGCCTAATTACTGTCTTACTGAAATAGTTCTGCAAATCAGCTCTGGGACACTATTACCTAAAACTGTGTCTATTAATGCAGATTGTCTGTCGTTCTTACTAGTTTGAGTAATGATTAAGGATTGAGCAAGATTTGTTTTACAAACGTTTGTTACATCAGTCATTCATGTAAGTGCTCGGCTAACGTGTGCTGTTATTGACGGAGTTCCCGCATGTTCACCGCAATAAATTAGAAATAGAAACATCGGTTTGTTGATGGACATACACTTGTAAATGCTGATTGAGGAATTACAGCTGCAACATCTCATAATGTACGTCAAACTGAGTAGCATATCACTGAGAAACGTCCTGCTCAAGTAGTCCTTACGATGGAGGTTCGGGTTGAATAACTAGTTCTTCCAATGTTTCATCTTCGGACTCGGATTGATATAGTAAAATCGACGCCATCGTTGCTGTATGAGCTGAAGTTCAGTTGTGGTAATGGCGTTTTGTTTCCGACAGGCGCTGTAAGCGGTAGACCAATCACAACAGACTGGGCCATCTGGCCAATCAGAGCAGAGTAGCTTGTGGAAAGGAGGGATTTAGAGAGACTGAATTATCTGACAAGTCATTTGAGAATCATTTAAAAATGTGGAAATGTGCAATGTATATTAAGAGAAAATGAAAGTGTTTTTTTGACCTTTGATGCTTGTAAACCTCTTGTAGGAGACATCCAAAACAAAATTAGGAACCTTTAAAATAGCGTAATGAGGCACTTTTAAAAAAAAAGGCTTAATTTTTTTGTGTGTGTAGTAATAATGTAACAAAGTTAATCTTGCAATTTATTTGAATGGTTTTTGTACCATGTATGCTGCAATAAAGCCAATTTCTATGTATATAGAATGCGATATCATCTATCTAAAAATATTCAATGTAGTTCTTTATTGACTTCATTAAATTAGCTTGCAGACAGCACTAACCAAAATATTTCAGATGTGAACCACAGCATATTTGAAAGAAAACCAGGACATAATACTTCCAAAAGATAGTATATATAGAGAAAAAAACATTAAACATGACTTGATGGTCAAACATTCTAGGGTATATTAGTAATAAAGAAAGCACATAAGCTTCAGACTGACAAGAATAAAATGTAACTTTACAGTGTTGACAAAGCAAGTACTTCTACAGTGAATCACAACAGCACAAACAAGCAGCTGACCTGTCGAGTGTCGAATACGTGAAGGCCGGTTTGCAGAGGGGTTTTCTCTGAGACGGAGCGAAAGTACGTAAGAGGGGTTTAAAGAGGGAGGACTTTGATATGACACACCACTAGTTGGGGGTTGTTTGCGTCTGAAAAAGATCACGCCCATGTCCGGGTATAATGATATCAATGATTTTTTTTAGGTTCGTTGGCACCAGGTTCCGTGTCTGTCTGTCAATTGTTACTTCATGGCTGCCCTGCTGACTGTGTCTGAGAGATTTCAGTGTGCGTCTCCATGCCAGTGTGATGGTTGTATCTCCTTGCATGAGTACGAGTGTGAGCATTTCTTGATTCTATTTTAGAAAGCCACCTGTTAATGATATTAAAAAGCATGGCACTGAGCCCACTGAAGAGTTGAGGTTACAGCATGTATGCCTATGGGTGTTTGTGAGGGTAATTCTGGGAAAATGAGGCCTGGAATCCTGAAGCAGTGTCAGTATTTCAAGCTTTGAAGTTTACTATAAGTATTGGTTAAGACTGTGGAAGATTTACTACTTTTACTACAGTTTCTATACAACAAAATATTCAAAGTCATTTTTTTATTATTATTATTTTGTTATTTATTTTAATTATTTAGACTTTATTTTATTTGTTATGGAATTATTTGTATTGTTAAAAATGTTATTGTTCATTTACTTTGAATGTTTTCTATTTTACAATTTTTTATTCTTTATTATTTCACTAAAGTCATTTTTTTAAAGACTTTATTTTAGGAATTATTGTGAGGAATTAATTGTATCATTAAATTTGGGTGTTATAAAATTTCAGTCAGACCTTCGAGTTTGCTAAAATAATGACTATTTATATTAATATATTTAATTTTATTTAATTTTATTTAATCTTATTTTATTAAATTAAATTAAATTATTTTGCTAAAGCCAAATTTGCTAAATTTAATTTAATGTATATCATTTAAAATTGGGTGTTATATTGGATGTAATATCATTACATTTGGGCGTTATAAAATTGGAGTCAGACCTTCAAGTTTGCTAAAACAATGACTACATACTAACTATCTGGCTAATATTCAATAGCCCATAAGTAATTTTATTTGATGAAAGATTACGAAGAAACTAATAAACTATTTATTATAAGACCATGAACACATATTAAAAAAGTAAAGTGTCAATTTCACCAAATGGTAATGGAGAACAGGGCAACAGATTTGCTTACCAAGAACGCAAACAGAAACGTCCTTGATTTCACAATGCAAGATTTCACTGACAGCTAGTTAAGTGGTTAAGGTTGCTATTTACAGATGCTATTTAAATGTGAGTTATGTGTATTAGCCAAATTTAAAGTCCCCTTTTGATGTCATGGGGGCATGTCAAGTGAATTATGACCGTGGACGTGCACCTACTGTACAGTGTCCTATAGGTGAAATAAATACATTTACATTTGCATTTATTCATATGAGAATTTTACGTAGTGTTCTTCAAGTTAAAGTAAGATGTGTATTTGACTTTTTTACTATGTCTAGAACTATTTTGGTTAATTTCATGAATTAGTCATGGGGTTATGAGACAGTGATGTCATTTTAATCATAGGCAACAACACACACTGTGGATAATTCAGTCGTCACGACTCACGGGTATTATGTGCTATTCTGTACACGAGTTCAACCATTTACTCATGATATTTAAGTTTAAATAAAAAGACAATTTCCCACAATTTCCCACAATTCGCTTATTTGGCTCATAAATAGCTCATACCAAACATGTTAAACTCTGGACATCCCATGTTTATGCAGAGAAGACTATACGCTATTATTTATCATTATATCAGTATATAAAGTTTTTGAAAATGTTTTGCCCAATTTGAATCTGAATGAGATACAATATTTCTCAATTATATATTTTTTATGGGAAACAGATGTAAGTAGAAGACACAAATACTCATTCCTTAAATGAATGGCAATTATTAAAAAGGTCAAGATTTGGCTGGTTAGCCTATTAACCTGCTCGCTATCCTGGTTAGCCTGTCAGTGTCACTTGGCATAAATCTTTCGAAAGCTTAAACACTCAAAATTCATCCTGTGTAAACCTTTAAAAACTTTTAGCAGGTTCAATTTGTGATATCTTCAAATTTTGAAAACAACTTGGTTAGACATATGGCTTTGATTTTTTTTAAATAATTTTAAAGTCCAAATGATTTTTCCAAAATACCTATTTTGTATAAAATATATATATATTTGCTTTACTGTCAACTTTAAAATTCTATGACTTTTTTTACACTTTCCTTTTTTTAAGGTGCTGCCATTTTCTGCCGAGTGTCTTCTTTAGAAAGAGACCAACCTGTTTTCCAAAGCATTCTTAATATTATGGCCATTTAAGTTCAGATCTAAGCTCAAAAAGGGGGGTGACAGTTAGCAAAACGACAGCCACAGTCACCGTTCACATGCATCATTGCTTCTTTTTTTAAATGCTATTTACAGTACAGGTACAGTACAGCAATGCTAACATCATCTTTTTTGAGAAAAATTACAAATAGGTTTGTGTTGATGTGAAGGTGAGTAAATGATGACAGATGAATTAATCTTTTAAATATGTGCTGTTGAGATGATTGCAACTTCAACATGCTTGCAGTCCAATCTTTATTCAGTGCTTTCAATGGATCTATGATGTACTGACATGGGTGGGGCTCATTTGTATTATGTAGCCTTATCAGACCGACAAGAACGGAGAGGCAGCGAGAAAGAGACAGTGTGCTGCAGTCTTATGTGCTCAGCATGGCGATTGCTCTGGTTTGTGCACTCACTAACCTCTTCAGAACCTCTACTTTACCAACACTGACCTGTAGGTGGTGCCAGCAGGCAGAGGTGTCTCAACACGTCTCCAGAAATCCAATGAGCCTATTAAACAAGATATAATATTTAAAAAAAATGCCTATTTTTATATTAGCTGTCAGTGACAGGGAATAAATCCTTTACAACAGGGGTCTCAAACTCAAATGACGTGTGCCACTAGCTAGACAGTTTCCACAGGGGACAAATACAAGTTCTTATATTCAAGGGGACTAGTTCTACAAATACAAGGGGACAAATACAAGCTTAAATTTGAAGTACTGTTCAAAAGTCAGTGAAACATTTTTTTAATACTTTTATTCAGCAAGGATGCCTTAAAATTACAGTAAAGACATTATAAAAATCTATTTTGAAGAAGGCTAAACTATGTTTTTTTTATATTTCTATTCATCAAAGTATCCCAAAATTTCCACACACACACACACAAAAAGGTTAAGCAGCACAACTGTTTTCAACATTGGTTATTGATAAAAAAAAAAAACTTGAGTTCCAAATCAGCATATTAAAATAATTTCTGGAGGATCATGTGACATTGAAGACTGATGCTGAAAATTCAGCTTTGACATTACAGGTGTTACGGAAGCAGACTCAAGAAATGGAAGTTAATAGGAGTTTATTGACAACACAGAGCGGGAACAGAATACAGGTAAGTGATATGAACAATGATAATTTGTAGAGCGGTGTGCAGGCGATGAGTGGAATAGTTCTTCTTACAGGTATGATGACTGATCGTGGTTGAGACGGATGACAAGAACACTGAAGACACAGGAGAGACGAGATACTGGAGAGACTGGAGAATGATCGTTGGAGCATTTAGGAGATACGGGTTTGGAGATAGTCCTCTTCGTGTGAACGAGACTGGACAATGAACAGTGGTGAGGAGTGTGTCTTTATAGTGGTAGTGATGATGAGGTGCAGGTGTGTCTGATTAGAATTCAGGTGAGGGAGTGCGCTGTGATTGGCTGGTGTGAGAGCCTGGCTGATCTGTAACATCAGAACTATATTACATTGTAAAATAGAGTAATAATTTTTTGTAATAATATTTTACAATATTACTGTTTTTACTGCATTTGTGATCAAATAAATGTCGCCTTGGTGAGCACAAGAGGCTTCTTTCAAATACAGTTGTTATCAAAATCATTCAACCCCCATTGTAAATCACTTTTATTGGCAAAATTAACAGACTTTCAGCTGTTTGCAATGAACAAATCAAACAAAAGTAATTGAAATAGCTCAACACAACAAATGTTTAAAGTGGTTTCCCCAAATTCAGCTGAAAATGCAACTTTTAATGACTTTTATTCAACCCCCTGAAAAGAATTCCTCACAACAGCACAAATCTGCATAACAGGTGTTGTCTCAAGCACACCTGATGCAACTAATCAAGGACTTCATTAGTTGCACCAGGTGTGCTTGAGCTAGGACACATGAAATACCTGAACTGGCTAGGTTTGTTGAATGTCATGTTTGACTGCATGTTAGAAATATGGCTAAGTCAAAAGAATGGTCCAAAAAGTTAAGAGAAGATATCATCGCCCTTCACAAACAAGGAACAGGATACAAAAAGATACCGAAGGCACTAAATGTTCCTAGAGACACCGTTGGAAGCATAGTTCACAAGTTCAAAGTTAGAGGAATAGTGGTTACACTACCTGGACGGGGCAGAAAAAGGAAGCTATCAACGGCAGGTTCAGAAAAACCCTCGAGTCTCTGCAAAAGACCTGCTGCAAGACTTGGTGGCAACAGGCACTGAGGTTTCAGCTTGGGCAGTAAGGCGCATACTAAACGCATGCGGTTTCCATCCCAGAACTCCAAGACATACACCACTATTGATCCAAGAGCACAAAAAATGTCGGCTCCAATTTACTCAAAATCATATAAATAAGCCACAGACGTTTTGGGATTCTGTTCTGTGGAGCGATGAAACAAAACTGAACTTTTGGATCAGCAGTAATGACAACATCAGCAGAATGAAGCATATGCTGAAAAGAACACTCTGCCTACAGTTAAGCATGGTGAGGCTTGGTGATCCTCTGGCACTGGAAACCTGCAGCGTGTGGAAGGTAAAATGGATTCATTGACATATCAGGAAATCCTAGGAAAAAACATCATGCTGTCAGTGAGGAAACTGAAGCTTGGGCGTCATTGGAGCTTCCAATAGGACAATGATCCCAAACATACCTCAAATTCCACCAAGGCTTGGTTGCAGAAGAAGTCCTGAAAGATTCTACAGTGGCCATCACAGTCCCCTGACTTGAACCCCATAGAAAATCTGGTGGGATTTGAAGAAGGCGTTTGCAGCACGCAAACCCAAGAATATTACTGAACTGGAGGCCATTGCTTATGAGGAATGGGCTAAGATTCCTCAGAAACGCTGCCAGAAGCTGGTGTCTGGTTATACATCTCGTTTGCAGCAGGTCA